AATATATTAATGCATATATATATATACAATTAACACCTATTCTATTCATTTTAAGGATAAACCTAACTTCAAAATTAGATATTTGGGAATGAAACAAATCCTGTATTACCAAAGCCATTTGAGTTTCTAATTTGGACTTCATTACTCTGAGTAATCGAATAGTTCAAGCATCCATATGCCGGGGGGGGAGGTAGGGGGGGGGTGACTAGACAAATACCTTCAAATTGCTCACTTGGATGTATCCAGCGTTAAGTTGCCAACCTCAAAGACGAGGGTGGGCGAAAACCCTTCCACCAAAACCACCCCAAAATTGGAATACGATGACGAGAGCTTTGAATGCAGCTAACTGGGTTAGTGGGAGAGGGCCTTTGTTTTGAGGGTCTGCTTCGCGTTGCTTTAACGGAAAATTATAAATACAGAGGTGAATAAATAGAGCATGATAACTTCAAACTCTAAGAAGGATACAGAATTCCTATTGATTTCGGGTGCCAACCCCAGGTATGATAAGTGAAATACCACGTTACTTCAAGCTCTTCCAAGGCTCCATGCACAATTGCATTGGCTCTGATAGTTAAAGGGTTCTATCACGAGCCCTTTCATTTTCAGTTTCTACTTTAACACACAAGCTTGACAAGTAGACGTTGATACAGTCTTTACTAGTTCTTGTACCATTGGCCTATCTAATCTCTGAGGAAAGCTGTGACTGAAATATCATTTCCTTAGTGGAGCCTTCTTTGCCCAATTCATCAACAATCATTGATAAGCATTGAATTCAATCAATTACAATGCCATTTTATCTTTGTTTAGGCTAAGATATATATGAGCTTTTCGACGCAAAATTTTATGTTTTTGTCTTTTTTATTTCAATTTTAGGGGTGCATGAATTTTACCGGGTGTGTGAGCGTCAAAAGAGCACATCTGTGGCTCAATTTTTGATAAAATAGTAGGTTAAGAGGCCTTTTCTTGCCATTCTATGTGCGTCTTAAAATACAGTGGATTATAACGTCAAGCACAATTTGTTTCAATTAATTTCCCACTGGTGTAGGAGGGTGATTAATAGACAGGAGTTCAAGGAAGATTGGCACACAATCTTCTATGTTAATCAGAGCAGGAACCGTGTGAAAGGTGAGGGAATTTGTGTAATAACTGCCTTTGCCAGAGGTCATTCTCTAACCCAACTATTTACAGGTGTCATAAGAGGCAGAATTCTTCCTAATTGGAATTAGAAACGGGTGTATTACTTATAAGGCGGAAATTTCATTATTTGTTCTGAAATTTGCCAAAGTTTTGATCCACTCACCTCAGAATGATTTAAGCTTTTGCAAAGATATTTACACTGTAACTATGCAGCAAACTAAAAGAACCTTCAAAATTCTTTCTCCTACACTTAGAAGAATACAATTCTTGCCTTAGTAATGTAGAAGACTCCGAAATAAGGCCAAATCTGCGTCACGTTTTCACTCGACTTGAAAATAAGCGTGTAGATTTTAAGCGATAGCTGTAACATAGTGGCAATGCTACATTTATATGCAATACACTTCATTTTGAAGAGCACGTTTTAAGAATACCAAATGTAATACCAACATCAAGGAATATAAAACGGATATGAGTGTTCTTACTCGTTATATGTATACAAAGAAGAGGCCAAGTGGATGCAACACGACTCTCAAAAGTCCAAATGCTTCGAAATCATTTATTGTGCATTGAACAATCAACAAATGATTTGTATTTGCAGGGAAGGGGTGCACGACAGACTTACCTCCCAAGTGGTGCATCCTGTACAACGCATACTCATACGGAAAAATAGTCTATCAACCGGCAGTTGACTTCTAACTTCAATCTACCATGACCCGGCTGTATGTCATATTCGACCTCTTTCACAGTACTCATCTCACCTTTTTCCCTGCCTTCTTATCTGTCTGTCCCTTTTACATCTGTGAATCGCTCTTCTGTCCCCCCCCCCTTTCGACTCTGTGACTTTGATGTTCCTTCCCACTCTGTGAACCCCAAAATAAGCTATAGAGCTGATGATAACTATCAAAATGCCTGCCATTTGATATAACTACATATTAACAGACAATTATAACTGTGATAAAAGGTCAGAAGTGTTTGAATAAGATAGTAAAGAGATTAGTTTCTGATTCAATTGAAATAATTTAGACGCTTTCATTATGAGATTTTCGAAAACAGTTGGAAATGAACTTTACCTCTTTATTCCGAACAATACTGTCTCTTAACCGCCTACTTTGGCCCTTTATAGGAATAGGTAGAATACTTATTGCCATTTCACAGCATTATTAATTGTATATTTCTTGTCTATTTAAACTAGGAATCGAAGAAGTTAGCAAGAAGGCGGCTGTAATGAAGACGGTTAATGATGAATATGTTAGGATGCAACAAAATAGCATTCACCTTTCAACCTCTTTGATTTGTTAAATTAACTTCATCATTAATTAAATTATAAAGGGACAGGAATATGTGTTAACGGCCCTTCATGCTACTTAAGGATAATTAATGAGCTTGATTAGTTACATACATTTTTTAATATTTCTAAGTATAATTGATATTAACGTTAAGTATAATAATCTGATTTTAATATTGATAGCACAGTTTCGTCATGGAACAATAGAGCTTGAGAAAGGTGCCTACACACTAATCAACTCGTATTTAACCAAAATCGAAGGGTCAGCAGTCTCACCTTTTCTCGCCATCTCTTTCACTACAATCGGGAGAATGATGTTATCGCGGTATGAGAAGGAGAAGTACACGAGAGAGAGAGAGAGAGCGACACAGGGGCTCCCGTCCACGTGTCTTAAAAGAGACGAATACTTTCATCTCTCTCTCTCTCGCACTCAGCCTACTTTTCGCTCTCACGCTCTCGCTACGACAACATAAAACATTTCTTGTCACGCGCTCACAAGCGCCACAACAAGTGGAGGAGAGTAGCATCGTTCGATGCGTAGGTGGCAACGTAACGATCCCGGAAGAAGAGAAGGTTCTTAGACGCCCACGTAGACTCTATGTTTTTCTTCAAACCACTTTGCGTAACTCGAGATGGCGACCCCGGTCTTATAAAAAAAGTTTGCGTTTTTTTAACTCGCAAAAGATTTATCAGAAGCAAATATCGCAGTAAATATGGTGTTTGGATAAAAACTATTGGAATTAAAACAAAATATCTCCAAAAAATCTATCTGAACAGAATAGATCAATTGAAAACGCATTGAATGAATAGCGTTTATTCCAGCCTATGCTAATCCAACTACCCATATGCAATCGACACTTTTGGCATCACGCAAAAACCGATTGCTGGCTGGTTGAGAGGTTTCTCGACTCACGGTCTCGCTTTTCAAAATGTTCTTGCGTGAATGAGATTCCTTTGATGATTGAAGTATTGAGTAGACGAACTCTTGGGGAGTCGCAGCAACTTGGAACTGAAGGTATTTGAAAACAGATTGACTAGCTGTGACTCGAGAGCCATGCAGAAGGAATTATAATCACACATGTCTCTCGAGGTGGTTGAGTAAACCACTCTAATTTAGAGATAAAATAGAGTTTTTTTCATGCGGCGTCAAGCATGTCCATTATTGATAGTTAGCTTTCGTGTGGGTCAGTCATACGAGTGCTGTTGTTAAGGCTATCAAACTTCTTACAGTTCTAAAGCTCTAAGCATTCAATTACACCGGTGGTGTCTATAACGAGATGGAGTCGATCAATAGCTGGAAGTCAGAAAAAAATAACTGGCCTCGATAACCCTATCAAAAGAAAATCTGTGTGCGTATATGCATATTCTGTTCAAAAACAGTTGCTAACCCACATTTCGTAACACAGACGACGAGACGTAACTGGGATCAAGCAAAGGAGAGTTCTGTATATAAATCTAAATTATTATTCAATAAACCGTGGAGATTTAAAGGCCACATATTCTTCAGTATAGCTAAATGGGTGACCTAATATATTTCCCTCTACTCGATCAGCATGGCCCCGGTCCACATAACAGCGTTACAATACTCAAATCTAGTAATTTACTTTTCTTTTAGCAGGAAAATCGTTATTTTTAACCCAAATCTGTCGAAAAATTCGGATTCACACAGCATTAGGTTTAGAATCTTACAAAAAATACAGCGATGCATTTACAAAATTACAGGATTATTGTTACTTAAATAGTATGTCTGTCCAATTTACCGAGTGATTAAAATCAACCGGGAGCTGAGCAATGATATAGTAAATCAAGTAAATAAAAATTCAGCCAATTTATTATCCCAATTAATCTATGATGGTTACCGGTAGTACATTATCTTCTTTAAATCAAGTCGCAATTTTACAAAACAACATTCTACGAGCGCATTTGCACGTTTATATCCACTAACTTACACTTTTTAGAGTAACCAAAGATATTTGAGAAGTATGTTATCCTTTCAGTGTGACAGAACGAAATTGTCTAAATTAATTCTTTTTGCAGTGAGTTGATATGTACGTAGGTTCTACTGATGCTAATCGATTGAATCAGATGCAGCATTTCTGACAAATGTAAGTAATGTGAACTTTTTAGCTAGCAATTTGCAGTAATAGTTAACCTTATTTGGCAGTAAATTCTCTAGTTTAGAGTTAAAGAATAATAGGATAGATAGATCTATCACTTGGAAACACCAATGAAACTAATATTAATTAAAATTTTTAAGATTTTATTTGGATTAATTATGCGTTTTGCCTCTATTTGTGACAATAGTTATTGAATGAGTGTTGCACTTTTTAAAATTCCATTTATCCTTGAAGGTAAATAAATATGTGTGTTGCGCAATTTTGAAAGATCCAATATGCCTATCAGAACTATAATACCAACACCAGATGTTAAAGAAATAACAAATATTTATGCTTCCTTAGCACTGGAGATTTTACAAAATTTGTCAAATAAGGCAAAAAAATTATCGCTATTGCAAGAATGCATTTCAAGAGATAAAGTAATGTTTGAATGAAAAAACAATTTTCAGACATTAAGTGAAATGAATCGTCCAGAGATAATAGATTTTATTCAGAGTCATGGTAAAGCTAATGTCTTTATGGGTAATGAGTTGGATTGCTCTCCTTCCGAGGTAAGTCAGCATTTTAAGTATATGCTTGTTAGCAGCCAAAACAGTAGTTTTAATACTTGAATCAACCATTTTGTAGATAAGAAATACTTACTTAAGGAAAGCTCAAAGACTGTGGTTTGTGCTGTGTTAGTTTATTGAAATCATGACTAGGAATATAACAGAGAATTGGTCTCAACATGATGAAACTAGCGGTAATCCTTATTTAATGGACGTGCAACAACGGACATTTTCGTTCTTCCCAGAAGATTTATTTCAGACTTTAAGTAAATTGCGAGAAGCAGTAGCCAAAGACTTCCATTATGGTGCAGACAGTTTCAATCACATCAAGAAACTTGCCAACGAGTGTGAATCAAACTGTATGAAATTGCAATCAAATTATAATACATTAGTAGCTAAGCTCGAATCACTTCAAGTTCAGAGAGAGGAAAGTGTATGCTTTCAACAATAATTTTTTATCAATTAATATAACACTAAGTGTAATGAAAATGTGTTTGTTGATAAATTATTAGAAGAGGGCACTCGATCAACAAACTGAAAGTTTACAGAGTAGATACGCTGAGTTGAGCGAAGTGTTCAACGATTCTATCCACCAGATTAATACAAGGGGCATTGAGGACTATGAGAAGACCGTTAGTGCTTCTAAAGGTTACTATAATCTTCATATTTTAGAATCAGTTAATAATTTATCCAATCTAACGAATTAGTATTTTTTCCTCTATGCCATTCTTAATTGTAACAAGTTGTTCAAGAACAGTTGAAAGCAGGACTAGCATCTACAAAGGACAGAAAAGATGAACTTCTTCCAGCAATTGAAAAGGAATTAAAGGATAGTAGACGTAAAAAATACAAACTTGAAAGTCAACTTGAGACTCAGATAGCAGCATACGACAAAGAGATGTTGGCACTACAGGTTGGACTTCATGAATATGATATTTTACTTTAATATTTTAAGTAGCAAGTTTCCCAATAACTAGAGTAAAGCTGGTGTGATAATCAAGAATGGGCTCTTATTATTTTCATATAATGAAAATTACAAATTATAATTTTAATTTATACAACATGGAGACAAATGTAGCCTATTAGTGCGTTTTAGGAGGAATATGAGCAAATGCTAAAGAAATATGATGAAGAGAATTTGCAACTTGAGGATTACAAGAGCAGAATTGTGGTAAGTGGATGATTTTAATAAGTTCTGATGTTTAAAGACAACTAAAAATGGAATTTCCATGTTGCCTACACTTGGATAATGATCGCAAGTTAAATTGCTAAAATTCAAGTATTCATGGTGTATTCCAATTTACCTGACTTTAGTTAATACCTATATATCTCAACAACGAGCGAACTACCATACATGCTAGATGATGACCGCTTATCGATTTAATTGTAATGGATTAACCAGGGACATAAATTTATCTTCTTCGCAGCATATACTTTAATCGGGCCACAGTTATGAAAACTGATTAGTTTATCAAAGAAGTTTTTACCATTTCTGTAGATAGACTTCCATACAAATATTTCGCCAATCGATTACTATTTCTAGTAACTTTTAACCAACGATTGAGTTTGAGTACACTACAGTCATTTCAGCTCTGATGCTGAAAAACCAACCAATGGCGAATTTTACACCGACTATATTTGATTCAAGAGCGTACATATGGATCTGAACTTGAGCTAATCAGTCTGATCAGCTGTTCAGTACTTTATATTCTGCGAATGTGTAACGATCAGTTTTATTTCTACCCGAAGAATTATCTTACCCAAATGGAATGTCGGAATTGGGTAAGGTGGTATTTGATATTAAAAATTAGGTTGGGTAAAGTTTTTATAGACACCACTCACGCATATTTACCAGTATCTTAACACGTTGGGATAGACGATTCAATAACTGATTCAATAACAACCATTGAATTCATGTGGCGATATTCGGGATTTTCCACTTATTAATCACTTTCCATGGCTGAAAGACTGTATTATAACTTGCTTGAGATGTCGCGATAATCAATAATGACGTTTAATTTCAGGTCTTACGCCCGGAATACGAGAAGGTGTTAGCTGAAAGTGTGACCGAAACGGAACAGCAAAAGGCCCTTGAGACAGGAGACACTGTCGTCACCAAGGCAACTAGCCCGATTGCAACCTACAACAGCACCGCCGCCGCCCCCACCAAAAGGAAAGCGAAAGGTCGAGGTCGACGCTAACACCTTATTAGTTCATCTGCCACTCCTGAAATGCACGCACCAAAACCCCGGCAGCATTCATCTCAAATAGTAAATCAGAGCTCCACTTTGGAAATTAAGCGGATTTTCGCCCACATTCCATTAAATAACATTCACAAAAGTTTCCTTTGTGCGATTCTTCCAGCGAACTGACCTTATTGGCGAATAAAATACTTTGAAACACCTGTATTCATTTAATATTTAAAAAATGATTAATGAAATAGCAATTACAGAACAAAGTAACCGGAAATCATTCAGCTTTCCTATCAAGAAACCGTTGCCACTCCAAAAATGGAGCATTTGGACATGAGGTCTCATTAATCATGTCTGCCTCTAAATACATGCATATATTCCGTCTGTTGGGAATGGATGCAGAAAGGATATGATTCGGACACGGAGTTTCGCAATTAATAAGTGAATGAGAAATTGGGTGGCTTCTCAGTTACTGCAGTTAGTGCCATGTAATCGTTAGTTAGGTTCACCTAGAACCTAGTGTTGAAAAAAACAGTTTGAAAATCTCCTAGTTCATCAACCCCGAATTGTGGAATTGGGCTTTTATTTGGTATCAGTAAACACCCATATCGGAGACCGACTGGGGCAAAAGATCCTCTCTTTAGGGCTACTTGCCACTACTAGCAGTAAATGCAAGCATTGAGAGCCCCTTCCATCGGTGTTTCATCGCGAAACAACCTTGGAGCAACCATTCAATCTTCGATCTTACCAAAGGTTTGGAAACTCCCTTGCTCCCTTCACTGTTCATTTGAATGTTAGTAGCTTCCCTTGTTGCCTATTATGACTGACGTTATGTTAAATTTGGTTAGAGTTGTCTTTGGCCTAATCTAGTCGGTTTTGCCAATATTCTCATATGTTAATGGGAAAGAAAAGTCCATTTTTATCAAGGTTCAAACCCAATGCAACTCCCCTTCAAATGCTTCTCATCATGAATACTTCCATCCGCATATCCTTCAAAAAGATGATAGGGAGCTGAATAAAGTGTATTTTGGGGTTCAGATAAATTTATATCAAGTAAACACAATTAAAGAGTGATAAATCCCTAAGTGACCTCATGGAGGGGTAAAGATTGTTTGACTGTAGAATCTAAAGGAATTAAAGCACATCTTGTTGAGATGGAATAAATTTAAAACAAATACCAAGTCAGAATGAATAAGTGGAAGTTCAAAGATAGACTACAACAGAGTATTTAAAGGTGAGTAGGAATGGGCTAACGATTTTTAATCAGAAGAGCTGGGTTAGGACCCTTAACTAGGGCTGGATTGTGACCCTTGCGGAGTTGAGGATTCGGACCCTTGGCGGGAATGCGTTGTACCAGAAGACTGCGATTTGGCCCAATGGCTTGAATGTACAAGCCACTACGAACGGTTGGTCGATTGGGTCGTAATAGATCCTTCGGCTTAAAGGAAAACAAGTGCAGTAGTCTTGAAAGATAGCAATGAGAAAGCTAATCTATTAAAATAAAAAGGGACACTAAGAATCTCTGATTCAATTAACAGTAGGTTTGAAATATCCAAACTCGAACCCCTCAATACTCCCCATTCATTCGTGTGAGAAACGAGAGCTTTACCCATTCTAATAAACAAGTGTGGTCATTCATTAACCAGAGAAGCGGCCATGCATACATTTCCGTCCAATAAATCCCCTATAACTACGCTTCCACCCACAAGAACACGGCAAACCATAAATAGCATTATGTACTGGGGAAATCATTTGTACGGGTGCTAAAATAGTAATAAATCATTAAAGTAATCTGTGATCACATCGTTTCAAAGGCTGTCATGAACGCCAAGGTCACAGATTATATACTGCTGACATGGGTGGTTTAAGAAGTAAACAACAGGAGAATGCCACGTCAAATCCACCACCCCCTCACCGATATCCAAATCGGAAAGCTCTCGATCCGATACACACCGGTTAGTACAACATAAACTGCATATAACATAGAAACGTAAGACCATCGCATCAAGAATAAGTTCGCCTTAGGAAGTACAATGCCTGAGTAGGTTCAAGGAATGTATTCACATACATCAAATAGAAAAAAAACAATTCTAAACACTAACCGAATCGTTTTACTATGTCAAAAATAAGTACACATATTAAAGCAAAACTGGTCTGCCATTAGATCAAGTACCCAATAATTGAAATCCTCACCTCACTTTGATCCAATAAGTCTCGATTGGCACTTAAGCAAACTTTATCTATGATAAAGATACGTTCTCATTTTTTAGGCATCATTTCAAGCAGTATTAGCAACCAAATACAACACCATATGTTGAACAACCCCACCAAAGAACAAGAGATAAACAAAAAACTTCAAATATCGACAAACCTAAGGAAAAAGTGAACGTCACCATAGATTTATAAATTCTATGCTTTTACTTTTGACCAATCAAATGACCAATAAATATCACTTACTATTAATTCCCACTTTAACACTACCAGTGAAATAGTGCCCAAGCATATGTTGACAAATAACATTATGGGGTGCGCGATAGACTTACCTCCACGTGGTGCACCCTGGGCAACGTATACTCATACGACAAAAAGTCTATAAACCGGCAGTTGACTTCTGATTTCAACTTGCCATGACCCCATTGTATGTCATATTCGATTACTTCCACAGTACTCACCTCACCTTTGATGTTCCTCCTCCTCTCTGTGAAGAATAAAGTCAACTAAAGGGCTAATGATAACCACCAAAACGCCTGCCATTTGATATAATAAATAAAAAAATAAAATCTAATCGTACTTCCTGTATTTCTGTCTGTGCTGTTTCAGATTCAATCGCCAGTTGAGTGTTTGAGGGTGTTGCTTGTATTGGTTCAAATGCTTCATCAGGATGTGAAAAAGGCTTTCTAGAAGAAAAAAAAATATATGATGATGAATTATCTTACACCGTTGATGTAGATGGAACCATTTCTTCAACTTCCGGAACCGATTTAAGATTATCTGCTGTTACTCGACTTTCCAATTGCAAATCAAGTTTGGGCGATGATGAAACAGTGAAAGGAATATCACTCTTTTTCTTCCCAAGACCTGCATCCAATGAAACAACATCTCGAGACCGTGATTCAGGACTAAACGATTGGCGTTGATGGCGTCCTGATGAGGGAACTACGACAGAAGGTGCTACAAAAAATGGCGAGATTATTCACCCATCATCTTATCGTTAATTCACAAAAAAGACTATCAAGCTTGATGGATAAATTATATTCCACAAAAGCATTTGCTTCAATGCAATTCTAGCTGAATAACAGAGTTGAAATGTCTGATATTTGGCAATGTTCTTAGAGGATGACGATATATTCACCGCAATGTATCACAAATTTTGGAAAATTAAATAAATCGAATAAACTTATGTGAAGGAAATTTTAAGGAAACCACAAACAAGTTTGCATCCAGTATTCACTTAGGCGTCCTAAACATTAACTTTATAAAATCCAACAGAGAAATACTAACAGCATAAACCAGAAATGAGATTTAAATGAGCACCGGAAAAATCAATAAATCAAAATTAGTGGTCTTGATACAATATGTCAATGGATAAAATCAGGTGGAGAATTCGTGGATACTTCAAGTTGAATAGGATTAAAATTCAAAAGTGTAGTAAAAGGTATATTTAACGAAACGAACAATGCCTTTATAGAAGGCGAATTTTTTTACACTTTCTTGGTATAAAGCCCGCACTTTAAGCCTAATAAAAATCCATCAAGCAGAAGTCAATTTATAAAAGCAGTAATTAAACGAGAGAAATTAAATGTGTCACCTTTCTTTTGCACTTCAACAGAATTGACCCCTTCACGTAAATGCCTTTACCAAAATAAGAACCAAATGCAACTCTCATTATTTTTAAGCATAATGTATTCATTAAGTGACTTACGCGTTGAGGATGATTGCGACCTTACATTGTGTCCAGGATGTTTCCTAAATGGATGGAATGATTTAGTGACGAAGGCCATTTTATTACTGAGAAGTTGATTTGCGTGTAGCTGATGACGAATATCTGGATCTTTTGTGCGATTGATTGAGTCTTGAATCGTGCATGTATAAAATCGAATAAAATAATAAAATATTATGAGTAAATAGTGAAATTAGACGTTTTGGAAAATTACTCTTCGTTCAGAAACTTTTTCACGATAGAGTTAGTTTTGGCAGCGCAAGTAAGTCTGATTGACTCATTTCTAGCCAAACCATCAGAAGATTCTTGTAAGTTTTCATATTCCTAATTGTTCAAAAAGTTCAATGTAATACCGAACTTGCGTCAGAGGGAGTATCGGCTGAGAGTTCTTGTAAAGATGTATTTTCCACGACAGAATTGCGATCTTTTTCATAATACCACGATCGCGGATCAGTCCATGTTGTCCTCCGATTTGCATGGTCAACATAATAACTAAAACGTTAGAAAAGAAAATGTAGTTACTGTAATTTGGTGCCGGCATCGTATTTCTCTTCCCAATTTGGAGGCAAAGGGTAGCGTTTCCAGAGCTTTAACTTAGTCATTTTGATAAACTTTTCTACATGAAAGCCAAATTTCAGGCAAATAACCGGTAAAATTTAATGAACGACTTCCAAACGTCAAGGTTAACGCAAATAATCTGGTGTGCTTTAACCACAAACCAATGTGGAAAATTTTTTATTAAAAAACGCTTTCTGTTATAACTTGTCCTTTTACTTCTAAAAATTTATTTGTTATGTTAAATAAATTGATCAATAATACGCTTAGAGTGTTCAGTCGAAGTCCACAGTTGAGTCACATATTGTAAAATAACTCCCAAAGCAACTTTACATAACTTTCCGATTTTATGAATAAAATATTTGGCTGAAAAACAGATAATGAGTTTCAATAAATTATTACGTTCTGCACTTCAATCTAATTGAAAAATTTTAAACTTATTAAATTTATGACTTCTTATTGTAAAAATTTTAAACACGTGAAAGATCGATGAATCCTGGATATTCTAGCTTCTTTGTTCTGCCTTTTCAGCACTTTTAATTGCGATGTACAAAAGTATGATTCTTAGCTATTTGAAATATATGTTAAATTTGGATGTTTCAATAACGTTGATATTTATTACCCATTTAATTTGGACCAAAACTATTGAAATTTGACGGAATCCAAAAATTCTTTTAAGCCGAATCAAAAGGTTAAGGCTTAAAATATTGGATATTGCCCACAGGGCTTTGACTCACTGAGTTGTAAAGCGAATGCTTATCTAGCTAAAACATTTTTTCGTTTCTAAAATATTGGATGCTATATGAATTTAGACTTGATTATATTGAAAAAGCATGTAAAATTCTTTTGTTAATGTAAGAATAATCGAAATATCGGGCAATATATCTAATAGGATATTTTAAAATATTTTTAAGAACTGCAACAACTGGAGTATGTTTTCTTATGAATCTGCAGATATTTACGCAAGTTTCTCATAGTTTAAATAGTTGTTTAGATACTAACTTAGTTAGTATTCCTTCCGCTGTTCCAAACTTTTATTTGTAATTATATGCTTAATGTGATGTCAGATTTTTTGATTAAAATTAATTTTCAAGTTGGTGTATTGAAAAATATGAGATTTAAGGTGGAAAAATCATCTAGACCTTTTCACATTTGATAACAAATCATACCTTCTAGATGATGCAATCCTCAAACATTTTCTTTTTAGTTTTAAAATTTTTTTTTAATGTAGTGCCGGTACCTAGGCGTCTCTTAATTGATGGCCAGATTATTAGGCGATTCCATGCAACCTGTATGGATCGTCACAAAATAAATATCATGGAAGGCTGTGGTCTAGGAATTTCTCATCAGCATTGAGTAGATGTTCAAATATTTGGCATAATTGGCTTTCCTTCCATTATTCAATTTTTCAGAAAAAAATGGAAAGTTATCCTGTTGATGGGTGCTTTCAGGAGGATTATCACTGCAGTTTTTTATTGTAGCACTTGTAAACATAGTTAGAACGAAGGTCATAGCATAATGCGCTAGCGTACCCTCCCCCTTCTTTATCCCCCATGTAAACATATTTAATTTTAAGGTCGAAGCTACGTGACTAGAATACATTATTAATTGTGTGATTTTTGAGAAGTTGATTTTGCAAATTCTGAAAAGCTGATTTTGTCATTGGTATTAGAAATCGTATATTTAGGGTACGGCAATTAAATAAACGAATCTTAAAGATAGCTGCAATCCTGATGGAAGAATAATTTAAGAATCTTATCGAATTAAAGAATAAAATCCAATTTACCACAGTATTTATTATTTGTTCTATGTAGTGGTCGTGTGGCCTGATTCTACAAAATTTACATTTTTGGATATTCACTAAGGCAATAGTTAGAAAATATATAATATAATACTGACTATTAGATTCTTTTCACAATGCGCGATAGTACTGAATCAAAATGGTCTATTTCCGAAATTCACGCAGAGTCCCTACCCCATGTAGACATTTAACCATTTCAATCTGCCAATCATCCTTTCCCTCTCAAGGTAATCATTTTTTTCTCGGCCATCTAGCAATTAAGCACTCATCTTACTTAATTTAAACACAAATGTTTGTCCCTAGCCTCGGTCTCCTCTCCCGCTTGTAACAGACAGCGTGGAAGAGTTGTAGGAAAGCGTTTTGGCGTCCTCTCAACACTGCATTGGTGACATCGAACATTTTCGAACTCCAGAGTAGAGATCATCATGACCTAGCAAATAAAATGTCTCACTTGAACATTAGCTTTGGGAAATAGAGTTTTGCTTGTTTGCTGATTGAAACGAAATACCTTGGCTATTGCTGCAAACTCAAAATACCTTACGCTAAAAGAGAATAAAGCAACAAAGTAGTCCAAAAGGTATATTATATTGGTTACTAGTAGTATTAGTAAAATATAGGCAGAAAGGAGTTACTTCTGGCGCAACAGTTGCAGTAAAAATGGTTAATCATGAGTAACTGGTTCAAGGTAGGAGCAAAAAAGGACACATGAGGGAGACAGATAATAGTTAGCGAGAGTTTTAAGGACTAAAGAAGTTCCGAGCAAAATCAGGAGTATATAAATGCACTCGTGTCCGCCATTACAAACAGTGAGACAGCAGAGATATTGAAAGACAATACAACATCCTTATCTCGCTCATGACACAACTCGCATGGGGCTTGAAGCCCTGAAAATATCTCCGTCTGCAAGATCCTCCAGTGAATGACTCCTTCCAAACACTCTTTCTGTCGGTAGCTCAACATAACGTGGTATCGAGGACTTTCCTGATTCCTCTCCGAAGCCTCCAACAGCTAAGGGGCCCCGTAATCTCCAATCCCCTTTAGTTGGCACAGACGCACATCGAGATCTAATTGGGTAAGCAGTAGGTGATCGGATATCGATTTCCATCGACCCAGCATCATTCCCACCACTAGTAGCATTACTTTCACTCTTATCTCCAATCCAGAGGATAAGTATAGTCACGTTGTCACTAGATCCATTTCTAACTGCACGCGCAGAAAGCAACTTAGCAAAGTCACGATTAGGAGTACCGGTAAAGAAGTGGGTTAAATCATCGGGCCCACAGCTGTAGGTGTCCCAAAGACCGTCAGAAGCAAGGATAAGACAGGAGGGAGATGTGGAAGGATGAAGTCGGTGGGCGGATAAGGAAGGGAGGGCTGAGAGACCGGGAATAAGTGAGGTACCAGCACCGAGAGAACGAGTGACACCTGAGATACCCCCAACTCGATAAGTGCCGTTCACTGAGAGATTGGGTACGAAAAAAAGCTGAGCACTATTCATTACTGGAGCTGGAAGTCGTCGACCGAGACGGTCGGTGGGATGTAAAATATCCTCACTTTCTTCTTCTACTAGATACTCCTCCGAAGCTTTAAAGGTCACACATCCACCAGCACGCAGAATTGATACAAATTCGACCTGAAATTAAAATAAACAGATAGGTTGAAGTGATTAATATACTACATATAAGACGCTATGGAGAGAGAAGTTAAGGAAACTCAGGTCTTCAGTGGGAAATGGTAAAGAGGTAGCTTACTACTGTGTTGAGAATCCACTAATTAAGTCTAGGCTGCCACACCAATACTGGTAGGGGCTCAGAGAAATATGCCTCGGGAACAGTTGCTATGACCCCAGTAGGAAGGAGACAAATAATCTGCGACTCAAAAATAGCTTCCTCCTTTAGCTAGGAGAGTACACATAGATCATATTGATTAGTCAATAAGGTAGAAGATAGGAGAAATAATTGTATAGACAAGATAATGACAGAGAAATGGTTTCTGCTCACAGAATTTTGACATCTACCCAGGACACTGAAAATAATCGATTCTGACACCTAACAAAGTTCTAAAGTTCGTTAGTAAATGTTAAAGGAAATTAACAATGGAGAAAAGATTATAGAAGAATCGACGCTACTACCAAAACGTTTAAATTTTATCTACTTCAAAGGGGGGGGGGGTTGGGGTACACTTTTCCTGTACCTTATAACTGAATAGGGAAGGGGGGGGGTGTGCGATAGACTTACCTCCACGTGGTGCACCCTGGGCAACGTATACTCATACGGCAAAAAATCTATTAACTGGCAGTTGACTTCTCACTTCAAACTACATGACCGGACTGTATGCTATATTCCACCACTTTCGCAGTACTCACCCTTCCTTTATCTCTACTTTTGTGCCTGCCCATCTCTTTTACATTTATTAATCACTCTTCTGTTCCCCCTCTCGAATTTTTCTCACTTTTATGTTCCCTTTGCGAAGCCCGAAGTCAATTAAATGGCTAATGATAACAATCATAAAGCCCGTCATTTGAAATAAATAAAGAAATAACTGCATAAGGCTAAGAAAAATCAATATTTACAAGGAAGTTTACAAATAGCCTTTTTATTTTCTTAATTAATGATACAACCATGATATAACCTGCCAATCCAAATTGTATCTTAGGCACAATTTTCTTTAAATAGCCCATATTTATTTGCACGAGAGATCAGAGGCGAGACTTGTGTAAATATAGTTAAATTAATTCTAGAGCGTTCACAAACTTCATTTGGGATGAAATACTCTACTAAGGAAACATAATTTCATACCACGCAAACTTCGTGGGGATAAAAAATATTCACCAAAATGTCAAAATCAAATAAAAACCCATTTACGTCTGAAAGACTTCCAGGGGGAACCAAGTTCAATAAATTCTAAATGAAGGAAAAGAAACAAGTCACCGAGAGAAGAATACCGCATTTCTCAGACCGATTCCCCTGCAGAGACCTCAATTAAGACGAGCACATATAAATGATTACTAATAACCGGATTATTCAAGCAGGACGAATGACCCACGGGATATGTGCTATGCAACCTTTGTTTCTACATACCTCCAAGTGTTAAAGTAAACCCTAAAAGGACTTGAACCGGAAAGTATAACATCAAATAACACCCAATAGATCCGGCTGTTAGGGAAATAACAGGAATAGAAAGCAGGAGTCATTTTCCGTTGGATGTGTGTTTTGTCTAGAGGTACGATGTCCTGATTAGAGGATAAAAGCAAGTGGAAGTAAAACATCAGTATAACTGCGTATGCGTTTGGGAAAACTACCCAGCCCTAAGACAGAAAGTGCTCAAAACACTTGATCTGAGCAGAGGGAAGAAGCTCCCATTCCACATAAAAGCAATGAAAACTATCAGGAGCTATTGGGTTGGCAACTAAGTCATTGCCGTTTTTGTTGACCGATTCACTCTATACTTTCTTTTGTTTCGTTAACGTGGCCAGAGCATCTAACCTATATTTTTTTCTTACTGTATGGGCTTCTAGGTTAATTTTTAAAAATTTTTTTTGTTTAGTTCTTTAGTTTTGTTTTTATCCCAATTTAAAAATAAAAGAACAGGACGTGCACTTCTGACACATTTTATTGTATTACTTCCGAAAAGGCAAGAACGCATCGCAAGCACAAAAGAAGTTATGTGCCGTATATGGAGATGAAGCCTTAAAAGAACGGCAGTGTCGAAATTGGTTTGAAAGATTTCGTTCCGGTGATTTTTCACTGAAAAATTCACTACGATCTGGCCGCTCAGTCGAAGTGGATGAAACCCATATCAAGGCCATTATCGATTCAAATCGTCACAGCACAACACGAGATATTGCAGAGAAGCTCAATGTGTCGCATACATGCATTGAAAAAAAAAATTAAAAACCCTTGGTTATGTCAAGAAACTTGATTTATGGGTCCCTCACCAGTTAAAGGAAATTCATTTGACGCAACGGATTAGCATCTGTGATTCGCTACTGAAACGCAATGAGAATGATCCATTTCTGAAGAACCTAGTTACGGGCGACGAAAAGTGGATAGTTTATAACAATGTTACTCGCAAGAGATCATGGGTGAAGCAAGATCAACCAGCCCAAACAGTATCAAAAGCAGAGATTCACCAAAAAAAGATTATGCTGTCAGTCTGGTGGGGGGATCACAAAGGAATTTTGTATTTTGAACTCATGCCGCAGAACCAAACGATAAATTCAAATGCGTATGTTGAGCAACTCGAAAAGCTGAAGGATGCAATTGAAGATAAGCGGCCGGCATTATCAAATCGGAAGGGTGTTGTTTTCCATCATGATAACGCAAGGCCCCACACAGCTTTGGTTACTCGGCAAAAATTATTGGAACCGGGTTGGGATGTTTTGTCACACCCACCATATAGCCCTGCCCTGACCTTGCGCCTTCGGATTACCATTTGTTTCGTTCCATGCAAAACTCTTTAGATGGTAAAAGTGTTAACAACGCGGATGATGTCGGATCACACCTAATTCAGTTTTTTAATAGCAAAGACCAGACATTTTACGAACGGGGAATTTTTACTCTGCCAGAACGATGGAAAAAGGTCATCGACAAGAACGGCCAATATCTAATTGAATAAAGTTATATTTTTAAACAAAAATTCCGAATTTGCCTTCTTATTTGAAATCGGCAATGACTTAGTTGCCAACCTAATAAATACACTTGAAAAGGAAACGTAAGATTTCAACTATCAGTAGAGAAGAGAAACGGAATATTCCACAATGAATGAAATTAATGACAAGTTAAGGTAAGAACTTACTGGATACTCAGGTCGATGTAGATTTGGTGTGAGCACGCTAAAAGTCGGTTGGACAGCATCGGAGTTCGATTTCTCCAGAAGCGAAATCGATCTACTATCCCTCATATCTCCAGCTGGACTAATGCGGTGCCCGGCCGAGAGAGCCATTTCAGCCGGATCAACCCTTGTAACATCGTCGTTTTCCCCAGAAGCCACATTCAGGGAGGGCTCAGAGAAGTGAGCACTTAGTCTCTTGCCCGGAACATTTGTGCCCGCATTTGTTTTATTCCTGCTCAATAGTAGATTGTGTTCCTTCGGTCTATCCTTCTTTTTTCCCCCTATAGGTAGTGACCCATATCTGAAAGGTGGAACTCTTCCAATGGCCGAAAGGGAAATACCAGGTATCGGTTTTGGAGGGGAAGATGATTCCATTAAATCAGCCTCCTCGACCTCTTGAGTAGCTAGAGGAGCTCTGACAAGAATTGGAGCTTGAGGAGTTTCCAGGACAGGAGGACTTGATTCCTTGCTACTGGCATTAGGACCCGTGAAATTTCCCCCTCCACGAACTAGAGATGTAAGCCATGAAAACGGGAGGCCCCATCGTGCAGCTCTAGTTCGGGGTGACGTCGGGGAGATCAGAGCACTAGCAGCGATTGAAGGGGTTCCAATAGACTCGACATTTAATGGTTGAGGGACATTCTGTTTTGTAGAGGAGGTAGGTCGTGGGAGAGTGGTCTCCGTGGAATCTATGTGGGGAATGTCTGCAGCGACAGCTGCAGCATGAGCTGAAGATACATCTGTTGGGAAAATGGGTTTCTCTACGTTGCCCTCCATCGTTGGTTTCATGTTTAAGCTACTGTGGGAGGGAGAAGATTTTGTGGTTGAAGAACTGGTAATTGTACTAATGGTGGATTTATTCTCCATGGTTGTTTTGAATAAAACTCCCTGTGAATCGCCGATCCATGCTGTGTAGATGTAGTCTTCATATATAAGGCATATTGTAGCTGTTGTACCCGAGTTCCATAACTAGGTAGAAAGTAGAAAACAGTCGTTTTGAAGTTAAATAAACTAGGTATTCTTCAATACTTGAGCCACGATACATTACAAAAAAGGTGTCGCATAGTAGTAGAGGTCAATATATTTCACGAAGGCAATGACAAAGATTGCCAGTTTCAAACAAAAATAGGTGCAACAATCACCGCTTAAACCCTCCACTTCCTTAAGCAATGAAATGCAGTAATTTTACTCATTATTTAACTGTACTGTAGCAGAGTTAAGATCGCCGACCCTATTCATGAAACAGCCACTCCTAAGCACGAGTTTTTAGGCGTGACCTGGCCGGAAATGAAGCCACTCACCCCCCACTCCCCCCCCCCGGCTCCAAATATCCCCAAATTCTCTATCCTTACTGAACTAAAATGTTAATCAATTTCAATTGCTTCACCATGGTGAAAAATGCGGAACTGCTCTACTTTGATAAGGTAATACGTAAAACATAAAAAAACAAGTACAAATTTACCACATTTCTAAGCAAATCGGTTAGAGGGCAGATAGTATAACACAGTAAATTAATAACAGTGGATATCAAAGTCGCTTTCTGCCCCGATGCGATCCAAGGTAACAAAGACAAAGCCGACTAAAAAAGACACTTGAAATTAAAAAAAACACTGCAACGTTCAGTCGACTGTCAGGTGTTACAACATCCCACACAATGCTAAAACTATCCCCCTGTTGAAAGTCTACTTTACTCTTAGCAATTCAAGGAACGAAGAAATAGCATCAGAAACGCATTGTCATTAGAAAAGGTCAATACGAAATAAGTACATAGTACCCCAAAAAAGACCACGATAGTTGAACAATGTTTACATCAAATGGGGATCGTGTAAAGATTATTCATCTAGCAGCCACATCAACAATTTCCTCCATTCGATGTGTTCAGACGAAATGTAAATCAAATCAAAAAGGGACTTCTCCTATAGAGATTACCAAACATTCAGATGCTCTAGAGCACGTCTATTTACCAGTAAACTGTAATTCGAAAGCATATTAATTAATTGATTTAAAAAGCTATAATGAAACACTACAGAGCTTATCCAATTAATATACTAAGATGCCTATTGGAAGAAAAATGCCAAATATTGAAGAAAAGGAGGAAACAATTGTCTCCATGTGTTTGCGAAATTGAAAAAAAATAAAATGCATCAATGAACTAGAAGATGGAATGCGTAGATAGAACCGCCGAAATCAATCAAGTACTGTTAAATTTAGACTGTGTATGTGCGTGTGTGTGTGTGTGTATGTGTGTGTGTATGTGTATGTGTTCACTAATCCATTGGGATTGCATTTCGGACGAGAAAATAATTGAAAATTTCAATATCGAACCACTTCTTCCACATAAAAGAAAAGGAATTTCCCTTTAAAGTTAAAGGGTAATAATTCATCCTCCACAGGTCAGTCGTGTTAAGCTAATAAATGCAACTAGAACATTTGCCCTCATGACACAAATTACCCAATTTTCCTCCCATTTGAAGAGGTAATGAAAGGAGAGGGAATTACGACTAGACTTGGCAGCCCATGAGTCATTACATCAAACTTTCAGACTAGACTAGACTAGAATACAACCAGACATCATCAACTCATATAACAGCATTTGAGCGCTCTGCTGACAGGCAGACACGAAAGATGACTGGAAGACACTTTTGGCGGGAGAGAGGTGGAAGATCATTGCACTCCACGTGCCAAGTTGGCATACCAGGGAAAACATGACTCATTGGCACGTATAGACGACAAGCACAAGCACATTTATTCGGAATGGTTCTTTGATTAAGGTAGTGATTCTTACTAACACTCCTCCTACCCTGTATTATAACCATAATTAACCGGGGAATACGACTTGATTAAAGAAGTACGTTAAGTTGCTTACTTTGGAGCTGGTTATAGGAGTGGAAACATGCTCGGAAGTCTGGAATCATCTGTTTGCATCTGGCGGACGGGATATATCTAATAGCGACCAATGAAAGGGTGCCGGAAATGTTAGATTCCCACAAAAAGCAACATTTTCCAACCAGTCATCAAGTTAGGAGAAAAATGGCATCAAATTACCCATAAAAAACTATTTTCTTCCACTCCCAAAGGGCGTATTCATCTTTTTCCTTCCAACGGAAAGGTTAAAAGTACACTTTCACTAACAAAAGTGCAATTCAGCGTAATTGGCCGACAAGGAAGGGAGATAGTAAAAAAGAAAGCAAATCAGCCCACTTGATTCCAACATGTGCGCACTCATTTTCGATTATTTTTAAAATTGAATCAATGAATTTGATTACAATTGTAAGGAGTTAAAGTGACATTTTAGATTTTATCAAATGAAAATACCCATGTTCGTATTTACTTACGAGAGAGACGGGGTGAGGAGGAGAAAATGGACACTAAAGTGAGAGAGACATAAGCGAGTAGACGTGACAATGACAAGTTGTTCCAATTCTCAAACGTGTTGAGGCACATAACCATCTACATATTCACAGGCAGGGAAGGACGATAGACTTACTTCAACGTGGTGCAACCTGAGCAACGTGTACTCATACGACAAAAAAAAGTCTACAAACCGGCAGTTGACTTCTGACTTCAAACTACCATGACCCGACTGTATGTCATATTTGACTCCTTTCACAGTACTCACCTCACCTTTTTTCTACCCTTATGTCTGTCTCTTTTACATCTTTGAAACACTCTCCTGCCCCCCTCCCTATCGACTTTTTTCACTTTGATGTTCCTCCTCCCCTCTGTGAAGCCAAAGTCAACTTAAGGGCTAATGATAACTATCAAAGCGCCTGCCATTTGAAAAAATATTTATTCAAGCTAACTGTATGCATTAGGGGCCCAAGGTACAAAGCTTAAAACACGTTAATTCCTGTCAAATCAAACTAAATGAATCACATTATTTGTAATTGGCTGTTCAGTAGACGTGTGAATTTATACACACTACTGATCAACCGAAAACTCTGCCTAAAGAAAGCTGGATAACGAGGAATGCGGGCTTAATAATTAGGTCTTTCTGTCCCCACCTGGAAGTAATATGTCAGGCTGCCAAGATGAGTAATGCCCAGCTGCTGATAGACATATCAACAACTTGCCTACTGTTTTTAAGCCCCAACGAAGATCAACAGAATAAATAAAAAGACAGCCCACAAGCACTCACGTGTATTTTTATAAATTTGGACTATCCGAAAGGGGAAATATACATACAAAAAATTCACAATTTCAGCCAAAGGATTTATACATAATA